TATCATTCATTCTATGCGACAAGTAACTATTAAACTGACGTTTTCACATACGTCACATCGGAGTTATAAACCCACGGCTGATTTTTTTACTTTTGTATCCACGTTTGTCATTCTTTATAAAACTGATGTCATGACGTGCACTGTTTTGTCCTAATTGTATCATTTACGAGGTTTAGTGAGTACACAACCCACATCACACCGGGGGGCTTGGCATTGGCTTCACACTCTGAAACCAGGAACAAACGTGAATCGACTTGACGAACCTTACGCTTTAACATTACGCAAGTTAATGTCAGAACTAATAAATTATTTATCGACGTGCCATTTAAATGTTATTAAAGTTACCCCCCTTGTTATTCACTAATGGATAAAGGTTATACCCTTGGGTGTATTCGTATCTGTTTCACAGAAAAATAACGGGCAGTTTTTAAAACCTCCAATCTGAACTAAATAGTGTACAGTTCTCATGAAGTTCTTTGGTATTGGGCGAGGAACAGTTTCATGAGCTTCGGTATATGGTCTCTGGGTTGTTTTGGGTCTCATTCAAGTAATCTGTGAATGACGACATGTTCAGAGCATTAAGTTCCAATACTAATTAGACAGATGTATCCCTGGGCAATGGGACCCACATTAGCAGTCTGGAACATATGGCATGTGTGAATGACACGCATCATAAAAGAATGTATAGTTCTGTTAATGTCTGTCAGTAAATGATCATTCCTGATGTATATTTTCAGGAAACTGCAACAACAAAACAACAAGTATTCAGAGGTCAGAGACGCAGAACTGTCGAGTCACAGGTCAAGTTGGTGTACGAACTTGAAAAGAGGGCTAAACTGTCTTGTTTGGAAAGGAACCGATGTTGCCCCGCCATCTTTATTTATCTACGAGCAATGATCACTAAGTCCTCAATGTTGATCTATGTTAACCCAACATCGGATCAGGTATAGAGCAAATGAGGTTTTCCTACGTGTCCAGAGTGGAAGGTGTTGGTGTATAGGCCGTTCAGTAGGATATGGGTTCACGTAGGTCACTATAGCGTATTAAGTCTGGAGGTGGGATAAATGTGGTTCTCTGATGTGACGTATCCAGTTTGACGTAAGACAAATGTGGCGTCACAATTGTGACGTATCCAATCGGATGTCGGATAAATGTAGGTTCACTCTAGGTGACGTATACAGTTTGAAGTCGGATGAATGTAGATTCACCGAGGTGACGTATACAGTTTGAAGCCGGATGAATGTAGATTCACTGAAGTGGCGTATCCATTCTGATGTAGGATAAATGGAGGCTCACTCTTGTGACGTATCCGGTTTTAAAAAGGATAAATGTAGATTCACTCTCGTCACGTATCCAATGTAACACATGTTATATTTTGGGATTGCAAAATAAAGGAAAAAATATAGATTATAACATATGTTACATTTTACTTTTGTGTAATCATAGTCACGTATCTAGTTTAAAGCCGGATAAATGAAGGTTCACAAGTGACGTGTCAGTGACGGATATATCTAGTTTGTGAAGACCGGATAAATGTAGATTTACTTGAAGTGACGTATTCAGTTTAAAGCCGCGAATCTTATAGAGTTTGAAGCCGGATATATGTAAATTCCCTGTCGTGACGTATCCTGTTTGAAACAGGATAAATTGAGGTTCACCATAGTGACGTCTTAAGTTTAATTCGTGACAAATGCATTTTCACCACATTGATGTATCCAGTCTGAAGCAGGATAAATGTAGGTTCATCACATTGACGAATCCAATCAATCTAGTGACGTACCCAGTCTGAAGCAGGATAAATGTAGGTTCATCACATTGACGAATCCAATCAATCTAGTGACGTACCCAGTCTGAAGCAGGATAAATGTAGGTTCAATCTAGTGACGTACCCAGTCAATCTAGTGACGTACCCAGTCTGAAGCAGGATAAATGTAGGTTCAATCACATTGACGAATCCAATCAATCTAGAGACGTACCCAGTCTGAAGCAGGATAAATGCAGGTTCAATCTATTGACGTACCCAGTCTGAAGCAGGATAAATGTAGGTTCAATCTAGTAACGTACCCAGTCAATCTAGTGACGTATCCAGTCTGAAGCAGGATAAATGTTGGGGCAATCTAGTGACGTATCCTGTCTGAAGCAGGATAAAAGTAGGTTCAATTTAGTGACGTATCCGGTCAATCTAGTGACGTACCCAGTCACTCTAGTGACGTATCCAGTCAATCTAGTGACGTACCCAGTGTGAAGCAGGATAAATGTAGGTTCAATCTAGTGACGTATCCAGTCAATCTAGTGACGTATCTAGTCAATCTAGGTGACGTACCCAGTCTGAAGCAGGATAAATGTAGGTTCAATCTAGTGATATCCAGTCAATCTAGTGACGTATCTAGTCAATCTAGTGACGTACCCAGTCTGAAGCAGGATACATGTAGGTTCAATCTAGTGACGTACCCAGTCTGAAGCAGGATAAATGTAGGTTCAATCTAGTGACGTACCCAGTCTGAAGCAGAATAAAAGTCAATCTAGTGACGTACCCAGTCTGAAGCAGGATAAATCAGGTTCAATCTAGTGACGTATCTAGTCAATCGCAGTGACGTACCCAGTGAAGCAGGATAAATGTAGGTTCTGAATCAGGGTAAATGTAGGCCCACTGTAATGTAGGATAAAGTGAGGTTCAATCTAAACGTGAGAGCCATGGCCCGAAGCATATTCTGCAGGTTCACTGCAGTGACCCAGTCTGAAGCAGGATAAATGTAGGGTGACGTATCCAGTCAATCTAGTGAGTCAATCTAGTGACGTACCCAGTCTGAAGCAGGATAAATGTAGGTTCAATCTAGTGTCGTACCCAGTCAATCTAGTGACGTACCCAGTCTGAAGCAGGATAAATGTAGGTTCAATCTAGTGACGTACCCAGTAAATCTATCGACGTACCCAGTGTGAAGCAGGATAAATGTAGGTTCAATCTAGTGACGTATCCAGTCAATCTAGTGATGTATCCAAGGTGAAGCAGGATAAATGTAGGTTCAATCTAGTGACGTATCAAGTCAATCTAGTGACGTATCCAGTCAATCTAGTGGCGTGCCCAGTCTGAAGCAGGATAAGTGTAGGTTCAATCTATTGACGTATCCAGTCAATCTAGTGGCGTACCCAGTCTGAAGCAGGATAAGTGTAGGTTCAATCTAGTGACGTACCCAGTCACTCTAGTGACGTATCCAGTCAATCTAGTGACGTATCCAGTCAATCTAGTGACGTAACCAGTCAATCTAGTGACGTAACCAGTCTGAAGCAGGATAAGTGTAGGTTCAATCTAGTGACGTACCCAGTCACTCTAGTGACGTACCCAGTCACTCTAGTGACGTATCCAGTCAATCTAGTGACGTATCAAGTCAATCTAGTGACGTAACCAGTCTGAAGCAGGATAAGTGTAGGTTCAATCTAGTGACGTACCCAGTCACTCTAGTGACGTATCCAGTCTCTCTAGTGACGTATCCAGTCAATCTAGTGACGTACCCAGTCTGAAGCAGGATAAAAATGTAGGTTCAATCTAGTGACGTCAATCTAGTCAATCTAGTGACGTACCCAGTCTGAAGCCAGTCTAGTGAATCTAGTGACGTACCCAGTCTGACGTACCAGGATAAATGTAGGTACAATCTAGTGACGTACCAAGTCAATCTAGTGACGTACCCAGTCTGAAGCAGGATAAATGTAGGTTCAATCTAGTGACGTACCCAGTCAATCTAGTCAGTGAAGCAGGATAGACGTATCCGGTCTGAAGCAGGATAAAAGTAGGTTCAATTTAGTGACGTATCCGGTCAATCTAGTGACGTACCCAGTCCCTCTAGTGACGAATCCAGTCAATCTAGTGACGTACCCAGTGTGAAGCAGGCTAAATGTAGGTTCAATCTAGTGACGTATCCAGTCAATCTAGTGACGTATCTAGTCAATCTAGTGACGTTCCAGTCAATCTAGTGACCCAGTCTGAAGCAGGATAAATGTAGGTTCAATCTAGTGACGTATCCAGTCAAGCTAGTGACGTACCCAGTCTGAAGCAGGATAAATGTAGGTTCAATCTAGTGACGTATCCAGTCAATCTAGTGACGTACCCAGTCTGAAGCAGGATAAATGTAGGTTCAATCTAGTGACGTACCCAGTCTGAAGCAGGGTAAATGTAGGTTCAATCTAGTGACGTACCTAGTCTGAAGCAGGATAAATGTAGGTTCAATCTAGTGACGTATCCAGTGTGAAGCAGGGTAAATGTAGGCCCACTGTAATGTAGAAAGTGAACTTAAGTGAGAGCCATGGCACGAAGCATATTCTGCACACTGCAGTCTGTTCTGAGGTAATGATGAAATCTGGACACTTTCAATGCAGTTGTTATGACGACAGCCACTAAATCCACATTTGTGACATTTGATCATATACAAATATAACATTACCTTTGATGCGGGAGAGCCTTCCTGGAGATCTGACTCGAGAGTTCCTCCTAATTGAAGCAACATATATCAGGAAGATACATTCGGTAACACGGATGAATGATTATTTATTTTATAAATACGTTTGATACGGTTTGATCGGCATTCTAGAGTTTGCGAGTAAATATGTACGGAACCGTACGACTTAATAGACCCAAATTTTGGGTATACCGTACAAGCGACTTTCAAGCTTGTCAACGATGTAAACCGAAACGGCTCTAACAAAATATACTAAACCATGTTTTCTATGAAGATTTACGTTTCTTATTTAAATAAAATATCATTTTATGATTTGAAACAATATGCAACAATCTAAAGTAAAAAGTAATGCAATATTCAGCGCTAATGCTTTAAAAATCAAGCATCAAAACTCAATTTGTTTTAACACGTCGCGTAGTGGGGTTGAATACGTCAGTGGTCAATTATCTTTTATCACAAATTACCAGTAGGATATAATCCAAAAGCAACAGGCGTGCTTCAAACACTGCACCCCCGAGATACTGAAAACAGGGTGATGATAAACTTCACTAAGTTGAATCCCTAAGCTGTAAGAAGCCGAACACAATCTGTTGCTATGAAATCTCTTCCTCATCACTGTAAAGTTGCATCAGGGTTGAGAGGAAGTGGAAGTTTGTAATGGAACGCTAGGTCGTATTCCATTACAAATCTTACAATTTGTCCAGATCCTAACACAGCATCCCTCCAGGTCACGGGGGATCTGAGCAGGGAAGGATTCCATGATCATTAAAACCTGTTGCTGCTGTGCGGTTCATTAGCTTCCAGGCTATCCGGCTATGATCCGACAATTGAATGAGGTAACGCCGTATCTTCCACGAAGAGGGCAGTCTGTCCGCTCCAGATCCTCTAACGCTGCGGCCATTACGAAATAACAAACCTGTTGCTCGCAGATGGTTCGCCAGTCCACTTGGGGTTCCGTAACGGTCTGGATGTAATCTGTGTCTTAATGCTACAGGGTTGAGTACATCTCGACCAGCGCTTCTTTCAGACTAGAGGGGAATCCCTCACTAACTCCATATTGATCCGGTTTAAGAATGCACGGCCTGTATACCTCGGCATCAGAATTCAATTGAGCGGTAACAACCAGAGACCAGTAATACCAAACCATTTTTCTGTATGAGAGAACGCGCTACACTCGTGGCGTAGGCCGTCTCGCGAAGAAGCCCGCGTCTGTCTTGAAAAACAATGCAGCAATACATGTGACGTAAACATATATACTGTGCGGGCCAAGGCGAATGAAACGGTTGGCTACAACAAGGCAGAATCTGTACCTTCACCATAGCGGCGGGTATTGAATTTTGTATGAGAGAAAACTAATTATGCAAACATCTAGCACGCCAATGGCGAGTAGAGCCAGGATCGATACGGCCGCTCTGCACAGTGTAGAACGACCGACTATGAAGCCTCATAGCCCGGTGCTGCTGTAATACTCTTTGCCTCCCGCCTGAGTGTACCGCCTCGGAAGCAATGGCGACCTGCTCGCATCTCTGGCAGACAGTCTCTTGCTAGCTCGGTCGGGTTGTGCTGGTTTAACATGCAGACGACAAAGATGTGAATACCTGCGCGTGAACAAGTGTCGTCTGCTGGTCGTGGATAGCCGTCAGGGATGGACATTAAGCTGAGGTTTTAGGACACAATGGACAGCCCAGATAATGTAACGCTGAAAGTGCCACTGTGTAGCTAGCTAGTCCACAGGAGGCAAGGCCATTGACTGTAAACCAGATCGACAGAATTTGTCGCCGTAGATCTGATCGGATATACTGTTCGTATTGCTTCACCAATGCCGACGGAGTAAGGCGACGTAGTATCACTTCACTTTTTCTTTCTTCTTCACCCTTCACCCCGTTTGTCATTCTAACAATTCAAAATTGTTTTCCTAGAGGATACAGATCTTTTCTCTTCCAAGGGGAATACAATGGCCTCCGTGGCAGCGTGGCTTCCCTTTGCCCGGGCATCCGCTATAGGGTGGGTGCCCATCTCACAGAACCCCCTCCCCCCACCACGGGTTCAGCCTGACCATAAAAGAGGGGACGAGAAGCTCAGTATCAATGTGAGCGGGCGTCGATTTGAAACTTGGAGGACTACGCTCGAGAAATACCCAGACACACTTCTGGGATCAAACGAGAGGGAATTCTTCTTTGACGAGGAATGTAAGGAATTTTTCTTTGACAGGGATCCCGATATATTTCGGCACATTCTAAACTATTACCGAACGGGTAAGCTTCATTATCCAAGACATGAATGCATCAGTGCCTATGATGAAGAGCTCGCTTTCTTTGGAATTCTCCCGGACCTTATCGGCGACTGTTGTTACGAGGATTACAGGGACAGAAAGAGAGAAAATAGCGAACGTCTCATCGATGACAAGGGATCTGAGAATGGTGACCCAATACCCGTCGGGAACCTCAGGGAACGGATGTGGAGGGCGTTTGAAAACCCTCATATAGGCACGGCGGCATTAGTGTTTTATTATGTGACAGGATTCTTCATTGCCGTGTCTGTTATTGCGAACGTCGTGGAGACGGTGCCATGTGGTGTAGAAGTAGGAAAGAAGGAAAACCGGTCTTGTGGGGACAGATTTCATGTAGCCTTCTTTTGTCTGGACACAGCCTGTGTCATGATCTTCACTGCGGAGTACTTGCTTCGGTTATACGCCGCTCCGGACAGATGTAAATTTATGCGTAGCGTAATGTCAATTATAGATGTTGTCGCCATCTTGCCGTACTACATAGGACTCGTCATCACCGACAACGACGACGTTAGTGGGGCTTTCGTCACTCTGCGAGTTTTTCGCGTATTCCGAATCTTTAAATTTTCCAGACACTCCCAAGGATTACGCATTCTTGGCTATACATTGAAAAGTTGTGCTAGCGAGCTTGGCTTCCTTCTGTTTTCGCTCACTATGGCAATCATAATTTTCGCTACTGTTATGTTTTATGCAGAAAAGAATGTGACAGACACGAAGTTCACAAGTATTCCAGCGGCATTCTGGTACACCATCGTTACCATGACTACCTTAGGGTAAGTAGTTCTTGTTACCTGACCTGATTAATTCTTCACTAATACATGTCATTAATTATTATCCTCCTCAACAGCCAAACCCCCCACAGCTTACGGCCGCCATTGACGAGTCTACAGGTATTCGAGCCAGGCCGGCGCCATTTTACGACAGCCAGTGTCCATTTCTATGGTCAATTATACTTGTACCCTACAAAGCACACAGCTATCTTTTTATTTCACCAATCAATGGCCAACCAATACAAGTATATTCAAGATGGCCCCCACTCACTGTCGCGGATGTTCTAAAAATAGACTTGTGAAGGCTATGAAAAAGTAGGTGCCATGCTAATCATATTTCAGTATTTTGTGCATAGTGAGCCAAGCTTCTGTCAATAACATGTGTTAAGTTGCATATATCTCTCCAAACGTCATGTCATGACCGTAATGTCCAGATTCCATACCCCTGAACATGTTGTCCAAACTGTTTATTCTCACCAATCTGGCTGAAATTGTCAACCTATACCCATATTAAGAGCCTACTCAGTTCCGCTAACGCCACCCTGATGTCATATTTTGCACCGTCTCCACAACGTCTCTCCAAATCAGTCCCATTTTCAGCTCTATCACCAGGTCATACTAATCTTATGGCTGCTTGTAGTAATATCATTGTAGCACCCGAAGTGTCACAATCGATACGAGGTCTACTCGGAGGGAGAGAGCATAATGTTTGTTCTTCCAAATATGGCGGATAAACGGTGTATGTATTCTATTCATGTATTATCTATTGCATCTTGTACTCTGACAACGTCAACAGTGTGAAGGTATTGGAATACTACCCCACCCTGGTCGTTCTAATGACGGAGTCTCTAAATCCCATGGGTCTGGAACTGTCAAATACCGATGTTGAATCTGTTCTTGTATATTAGTTATTCAGAAATGAAATGTCATATCCGTTCAGTTCTCCTCCTTGCACCATAAATCCTTTCGACGGGAAGGGAATAACAGAAAGCAATTAGCCTTACGACTCCTCCATAGAACACGCACGTATGTGTTATTTTCAGAAAGTGCTCAGCACCCTGAGGTTTTAATGCATTGCAATGAGGGCGGCATGATTTCAGCCAAGTTTTAAATTGATTATCGTATAATGTCGTTAACGGTGTAGAACCCTGATGCCGCTGCAGTAATGAGTCGTGAAATTAAAAAAAAGACCTTATTTACGCCATATTTGACAATGGTTACTGCATAAATGAATGACAGTCAATGCTTCATGCTGTAGGTTTACGGCTGCAGTGTTGAATGGAGGCGTGTTGTGACCCTGTCTGTGTGCACACACACGCAACAGCTGCACTTAGACCACAGTAGCAGAGTAATGATGCAGCTTATATATCATGTAGTGCTTACAGAGACTCTACTAGCAGAGGAATGATGCAGCTTATATATCATGTAGTGCTACATAGATTCTACTAGCAGAGTAATGATGCAGCTTGTATATCATGTAGTGCTACATAGACTCTACTAACAGAGTAATGATGCAGCTTATATATCATATAGTGCTTCATAGACTCTACTAGCAGAGTAATGATGCAGCTTATATATCATATAGTGCTACATAGATTCTACTAGCAGAGTAAGGATGCAGCTTATATATCATGTAGTACTACATAGACTCTACTAGCAGAGTAAGGATGCAGCTTATATATCATATAGTGCTTCATAGATTCTACTAGCAGAGTAAGGATGCAGCTTATATATCATGTAGTACTACATAGACTCTACTAGCAGAGAAATGATGCAGCTTATATATCATATAGTGCTTCATAGACTTTACTAGTAAAGTAATGATGCAGCGTATATACAATGTATAGACAAACTCCACATAGCATCCACTAGCTGAGAACTGGTTACAACCTGTATATCATGCAGTGCTGCAAAGGCTCTACTTACAGAGTAATGAAGTAGCTTATATATCTTGTTGAACGGAACCAACTAGCAGAAAAACGATACATGTTATATATCATACATATATATCATACCATAGTCTCATATATCGTACAGTGGTACACTGAACATACAAACCTGGAGAAATCAAAGAGCCCACCAGATTATATTTCATACTGATGTACTGTGGGTAAAGAATCAGGAACCATAAAGTGGAACATATTAATTCACTTCTTCATATCCACTATTCTGATATACATTGAATCTGACAACACTGGCTGTGTTGCAAATGTTACGTTTCATGCACCACGTAGAGGAATATATAATTCATTATTTCATATCCACTATTCTGATATACATTGAATCTGACAACACTGGCTGTGTTGCAAATGTTTCGTTTCATTCCATGCATATCCACTATTCTGATATACATTGAATCTGACAACACTGGCTGTGTTGCAAATGTTACGTTTCATGCACCACATAGAGGAATATATAATTCATTATTTCATATCCACTATTCTGATATACATTGAATCTGACAACACTGTGTGTTGCAAATGTTACGTGTTGCTTCATGAATATATAATTCATTATTTCATATCCACTATTCTGATATACATTGAATCTGACAACACTGGCTGTGTTGCAAATATATACGTTTCATGCACCACGTAGAGGAATATATAATTCATATATCCACTATTCATTGAATCTGACAACATTGCAAATCATCCACTATTCTGATATACATTGAATCTGACAACACTGGCTGGCTGTGTTGCAAATGTTACGTTTCATGCACCACGTAGAGGAATATATAATTCATTATTTCATATCCACTATTCTGATATACATTGAATCTGACAACACTGGCTGTGTTGCAAATGTTACGTTTCATGCACCACGTAGAGGAATATATAATTCATTATTTCATATCCACTATTCTGATATACATTGAATCTGACAACACTGGCTGTGTTGCAAATGTTACGTTTCATGCACCACGTAGAGGAATATATAATTCATTATTTCACATCCACTATTCTGATATACATTGAATCTGACAGCACTGGTTTTTATAACATAACTTCGTAAACACAAAGCCATGGTTTATTAATCGATGTTAACCGTAGCTTGCAACAAACAGAATGCCAACATAAGACAATAGTGAAAGAATTCTCCCAAGATGATGAAGCACAGTTTCAAATGCTTTAAGACGTTCAAGGAGTTAGCGTTAACTATGTTGCATTGTGCACACACGTGTATTGTGCACACACGTGTATGTGTACACTGTATACATTATTTTACCTCTTAAGGAGGAACACTCTTGCTGATCAATGCTATCTGGTCAACAACTGATGTTAGGCTGACTGGGTTAAGTAAACTTGAACCTATGTTATTCTCCACGGATGTCAAACAACATTCCTGTATTTACATACAACATCAGAGCCAGTAATTGAAACTAGATATACATATAAGTTACCATAAAAAATAACCTATTTGATGCGACAAGTACAATTTAAAAAAATGAAATATGCTTGAAAAATGTACTTTAATGTTGAAACATCATCCAGTATAAAACATAATTTTCTAAACATGTTATTGATAGACATTTCACATCCCTTTTCAACAAGAAGACACAGTTAAAAGAATTGTAAAAATATATTTAGTTGTTTTTTTAGTTGGAGATATTGTTACATTTGCTAACTTCAGGGTTATATAACTGCGATATATTAACATGTGACAGTTTCAAGGGGCATCACAGTATGTTGGTGCAACAGTAGCTCATAATAGGTATTACCTCGTTACACATTTCACCTCATTGTACACAGTGCCATTATATACATGTTATCTTATTATGATACCAATTCATGATACCTTAGTGCTTCTGTGTGCTCATTACCTGTAACAAATGACAAATGTATATTACCAAGCTGATATATTATGAATGCATAATCCTAGAATGCTCTTCAATGCTCTTCAATGAGAACATGAGAGCTCGTCCTTCAGCATGTTTTGAGCGGTACTGTACCAAGATGTTAGGAGTGTATTGAGTGCATCCTTCACGCACTGGATGGAGTAGCTGTGTTTATTAACCACATGTTGCCGAATGTCGCAAAGTGAACAAAGCCAATCAATAGTTTCATTGTTTCCATTCAGGTGCCCCTATGCCCAGACCATTAGGCTGAATCATATAGCCTATATTTGACATCGAGTTATTTCATGTGCCATATTATATGACTCCAGTATTCTATTCGTAGCGTATACCCAACCACGCACAAGCATAAGGGCCCGGTTCCACAAAGTGATCTTAAGCCACGATTGTCGTAATCTGTTTAGTATTCGACTTAAGATAATCTTACAGCCGCTTTGTGGAACCGGCCCTAAATGTCAATGAAATGAGATAGTGACGATATAGAGTAAAGTGTTTTCATTACAACTTCCCCTTTTGCTTCCGTTTAGTAGAAATCTAATTTCTTATCATATGCTGTGTATGTTGGTATTCATGATATGTTACTCAGGTATGTTGGTATTCATGATATGTTACTCAGGTATGTTGGTATTCATATGATACTCAGGTATGTTGGTATTCATGATATGTTACTAAGGTATGTTGGTATTCATGCTATGTTACTCAGGTATGTTGGTATTCATGATATGTTACTCAGGTATGTTGGTATTCATGATATGTTACTCAGGTATGTTGATATTCATGATATGTTACTCAGGTATGTTGGTATTCATGATATGTTACTCAGGTATGTTGGTATTCATGATATGTTACTCAGGTATGTTGGTATTCATGATATGTTACTCAGGTATGTTGGTATTGGTGATATATGCTCCTGTGTGTATGTACTTATGATACGTAGGTTGTTATTAGATGGCATATAGATAGGAAGGTTATCGGGAGATAAGTAGGGTTGTCATGTTATGTACATAGGTAGGTTATCATGGGATGTTATACACATACGTAGGTTATCATGACATGTTATCTGCATACGGAGGTTATCATGAGATGTTATACACATACGTAGGTTATCATGGGATGTTATACACATACGTAGGTTATCATGGGA